AACTGTGCAGGTGCGGGATCAGCTGCTGGAGCTGACGCTGCCCCATCAGCTGCGCCTGCGTCAGCAGATCAGCGACAAGCTCGACCTCGAGCTCATCCAGCAGCAGGCGCGGCACCACGTCCTCGACTTCTGCGAGTGCGTGGTTCTCAGGGTTCTCAGGGTGGTTCTCAGGGTTCTCAGGGTGGTTCTTAGGGTTCTCAGGGTGGTTCTCGTGCTGGACTTCTGCGAGTGCGTGGTTCTCAGGGTTCTCATGGTTCTGAGGGGGGTTCACATGGTGGTTCTCATGGTACTCATGGTTCTCATGGTTCTCATGGTTCAAAGGGTGGTTCTCAGGGTGGTTCTCATGGTTCTTAGGGTTCTCTGGGTGGTTCTCAGGGTTCTCAGGGCGGTTCTCGTGGTTCTCAGGGTGGTTCTCATGGTTCTCAGGGTGGTTCTCGTGGTTCTCACTTCTCAGGGTGGTTCTCAGGGTTCTTAGGGTGGTTCTCGTGGTTCTCAGGGTGGTTCTCAGGGTTCTCAGGGCGGTTCTCGTGGTTCTCAGGGTGGTTCTCATGGTTCTCAGGGTGGTTCTCAGGGTTCTCAGGGCGGTTCTCGTGGTTCTCAGGGTGGTTCTCGTGGTTCTCAGGGTGGTTCTCAGGGTTCTCAGGGCGGTTCTCGTGGTTCTCAGGGTGGTTCTCATGGTTCTCAGGGTGGTTCTCAGGGTTCTCAGGGCGGTTCTCGTGGTTCTCAGGGTGGTTCTCGTGGTTCTCAGGGTGGTTCTCAGGGCGGTTCTCGTGGTTCTCATAGTTCTCAGGGTGGTTCTCAGGGTCCTCATGGTTCTCAGGGTGGTTCCTATGGTTCTGAGGCTGGTTCTCAGGGTGGTTCTCAGGCTGGTTCTCGTGCTGGACTCCTGCGAGTGCGTGGTTCTCAGGGTTCTCAGTGGTTGGCAGGGTGGTTCTCATGGTTCAAAGGGTGGTGTTCAGGGTTCTCAGGGTGGTTCTCGTTGTTCTCATGGTTATCAGGGTGGTTCTCATGGTTCTCAGGGTTCTCAGGGTTCTCAGAGTGGTTCTCATGGTTCTCAGGGTGGTTCACAGGGTTCTCAGGGTGGTTCTCATGGTTCTCAGTGTGGTTCTCATGGTTCTTATTGTTATCAGGGTGGTTCTCAGGGTTCTCATGGTTCTCAGGGTGGTTCTCAGGGTTCTCATGGTTCTCAGGGTGGTTCTCAGGGTTCTCTTGGTTCTCAGGTTGGTTCTCATGGTTCTCAGGGTGGTGTTCACGGTTCTCAACTTCTCAGGGTGGTTCTCATGGTTCTCAGGGTGGTTCTCATGGTTCTCAGGGTGGTTCTCATGGTTCTCAGGGTGGTTCTCATGGTTCTCAGGGCGGTTTTCATGGTTCTCAGGGT